TCAGTTGTTGTTTTAGATGTTGTAGCACTGTGAAGGTCAAGGTTTTCCTTTACTTGTCATGTACATGGATTATTATTTTTTATTGTTATTTATATTTTATTTACTCTGAACACTGACACAGCGGTTTTTATTTGCTCATTTCTAAATTTGAAAAATGTCAACCTGAATTTGCTATGAACTTTATAGTAAATCTCTGTTATTTGTGCATTTTCCGGGAAATTACAATGTAAAGTATCAACATTATAATATAAATGGTATCTAATGTTTGGTTCTTGTTTGCCGATGACCTATGGGTGATAGGAATAAGGTACTAAGTGTTTCCTGATGCAATCTCTAATTGTATGTACAGTCAACTTTCACCCTGCACGAATGTCTGTTTTACAGATACAAAAATAAACAGCAATATCATTATAGGTTGCAAAGAGTCAAAACGTATCATGTTTTTGCAGGCGTTGAAGAGCATACAATGAAGGAAGAGTTATAACAGCTGAGTTAAAAGAGTTTTATTTAGTGGCATCATGTAAGTAGTCTTATACTAATGTACATCGCCAAATGTTTGGCTCTACATGCTTCTGGTACATTAACATGTACTAATACAAGGGCTATCACTAATGATATTATTACCACTATAGCTGTACAGTACAGTGGACTGCTATGATGTCAATGATGACAACCACATCCACTACATCAACGTGCCCTCATAGTTTAGCAAAATCTTTATTTTTTTATATTTTTTTTACATTTACTGTCAAACTCCGAAAACCGTGAACACCTGAAAAATTTCAGGAATGTTGATTGTGTACTGGCCAATCACAATAAAGCTCAGGATACGCAAGCAAACCTCAAAACCACAAACTAATTACCGTTGCTGTTTGCAGTTTAGTTTTCTCACGCCCTATTGGCTATTTCCTCTCAACACAATAACATTCCATAAATATTTCTGGTGTTCACGGTTTTGCGAGTTTCACAGTAAAAGGTAACGTATTGAAAATAAATGTTTCTGTATGTATTCCTTTTTTTCTATTTTAGATGTGCCTAATTCAGGACGTGGTCTTTCAAGGTAAGCACAGTTTGAAGAAGAATACGAAAGGGTCAAGGGTCATTATTTCCACGTCAGGACCTCACGTGTCTTTAGCTGGTAGGGAACATATAGAGGGCCACAGGTTTAACAGTTCTTGAAAATGAATTTTCTCTGAACAATGTCAATACATCATCAACATAAAAAGTTATGAGAGTTCAAATTGATCACCTGCAAAAGACACTTTGATTCTCTGTCAAGTTCTGTCCACAAATTCTTTAAGAAAATGTATGAAGGTCACTTTGGAAAATGAGTTATAACAGCTTTAGTTATAACGCGTTATTATTTGCAAAGTGTCTTATTCATACTTTAGCAAACATTAGGAAACTTGGTCAAAGGTGACACAATGAGAACTTCAAAAAAGAAATAGGTTTAATAAGCAAAACAACCTCAGTACACTCACACCACGCCTTTTGGTTTGTTCCTTTTCCATCACTGCTCTAATCTAATACAAGAGAGGAATTGCGGTTGTTTCGCCCGAAAGTCGATTCGCCTGAAGGCCTTCGCTAAGACTTAAGTCGATTCGCCTGATGACATTATAACACTCTACAACATAGTGAACCTACTTCTCCGAGATGTTGTTTTAGTTAAGCTTGGATTCCACATGTGCAGTCACTGTCTTTCCATGCTTACTCCTAATTCTCAGGTTTAACAAATGACAAATACACATCGGGAGAATCGACCTGGGCGAACTGCCAGCAGGCGAAACGACCCGATGCCCAAGAGAGAATGATGTGGCTCATTCTATCGTGTCTGGTGTTATCTTGAAAGACTTTTTTTTAGTGAAGCGAGGGTAATACAAACACAAAGATGTGGGAATATCATGTATTGCAGAGAAAAGGCATCACGCGCAACTTTTGATGGGACGAACGATCATTCTCACAGGAAGGAAACTTCGTTTGCGGTCTCTGATTCAGTGGGTCGAACTGATTTCAATACCAAAATTTTAAAAAGTGGCGAAAAGCACCGCTTGATCAAACTCTCAGTCACTCAACTTGAGGTTGAGTGACACTAAATACGAAAGCATCATTCTCTATCAATACTCTGTTAACACTGTGATCTACACGGGTACTCACTATTTACATGGAAAACCCGAAAATTTGGGTTGGAAAATCAAATGGTTCCCGCCATTCCGTTTGGGAAGCTTCAGAAAATATGGGCTGTCTTCTGAGGCGACGCAATATTTCTACTCTTTTTAGTTTGTTCAGCTGATTTGGATTGTAGTGGGTCGTTCTCACACCATGTCAGATTTTCTAGTTTAATGTTTATGCACAAGATTTGCACTTGGATGATTTTTTTAAATGGTAAGCACCCCTGCAGGGCTATGGCGCGTTATCAGTGTCAAAATTATGTTTGTCTTAATGTTTTGAATTTATACTGGTATTAAAATGTCTGTCGTGACATTAATGCGTTGGCATGTGGAGCTTAAACGTGATATTACGGAATACGTCTTGACATTAAGACGTTTATCTTGGAATTACGATGTTCGTCTTGACATTATGATGTTGATATGTATATTATATATGAACAAAACAATCGTCTTTTAAAAAAATTGAATTGTCGTCTTAACTATGATGCTCGTCTTGACATTATGAGGTTCATACGTATACTATATATGAACAAAACAAACGCCTTTTAAAAAGATGGTGGTCTTGACACAGGGGGGGGGGCACGACTTAGCGAAATTTCGTGTACCTATGATCCACCGATTTATGACATCACATCCGGTTGCAGAGTTGCTGCTCTGTCTTCACATTATGATGTTCGTCTTGACGTTAAGAAAGCATGCACTGCGGACTTACTTCCCGCCAAAACGAATCACGTGATTTATTCTTCGTCAAAAACAAAACATGGCCGAAAACACTGACGGAGAAATTCTTGAGAATTTGAAGAAGGGCATGGTGAACAACACTGAGGGAGAAGTTCTTGAGAATTTGAAGAAGGTCAACGAAAGTTTGTGTAGAGTAGTACACATGCTGCAGGGTCCTAATAGCGGAGAAACTTCTGATGCTACCAAATCAATTTCATCAACATCGTTGCCTCGCTCGTCTGGTCCAAACACAAGTAGCATCTTTGCAGAGCACCAAACCCCAGAGTAAATCAGATCGCTGCAGCACTGCGGTTCAGGCCACTGTCGTCAGGAACAGCACTCTCGAGAGCAACTACAGGAAAGAAACGAGCGAAGAAAGCCACAGGTGGATTTGGTTTCCGAACAAAGCGAAACCAATGGACTCACAAGTTTTGTTGTTTGGCTGAAAAAGATGCTTGCAGGATACCATCTGTGGAAGATAAGCTTAAGCTAAGAGCTGCAGGACTGGAAGAGAGGGAAATCACGTTGGACAGAGGCTGGTCTGCGAGTCTCTTGCATGAGAAGTTATCAGAAAGATATCCTAAGCTTCGTGATGGAGGAGGATATGAATTTTTGAGAACTGATGGAAGGTCAACTACAAGGCTGGTACTAATACCCGGTTCAAAGACAGAGGGTTATAGTGTTCAGTACTTGAAGGATAATTTGAATCAAGCAAGAGCGTATATCCGTCCTCTGCAGAACGACCTGTCATTTACGCCTTTGGAAGGCGACGGTGGTCTAATTGAAGTAAGTGTGAGCTAAATTGGTAACGGCCTTTGTTGTTGATTCCACTAAAGAGCCTGTATAGCGATTGTAAGTTATTTATTACAATTATTTACTGATGGAACGAGAGCTCTCAATGATAGCCTACTTAAAAACCTAGAGGCAGGAGCGGACACAGGATTTTGTAAAAGGGGTGGGGGGTGAAAGTACCAGCACCCCAAAGGGCACCTGGTAGGGGTGTGGCCTCCCTCTCAAACCTCCCCCTGGAGCGACCCCTGACACGAATAATGTACATAACCATGGATACCCTAGCTGAGCCAGGAACGAGAATTAAGAATATAACATGAAGTTTCTTTGTACATTTTGATTTTTTTTTCATCAGAATTATAATCAGCAATGATCAACATTTCCTTAAGAACAGGCTTCTTTCCCAGGCCAAGTCCCAACTTAGATGTACGGAAATGATGCTCTATTTCATTTTGTCCCAAATCTTTCAGGGTGATATTCCAATGGAGGAATGCAAAAGATGTGGTTTCTACTTTTCAATGAATGACTTAAAGGAACATATTTTCAGCTGCAATCAAGGGTAATTTATTTCTCTGGTGATGCATGTTTAAATCTAGATCTAAATCTAAATCGCATACAGTGCAAAACCCCCCACATGGGATATATGTGCACAGTTTGATCCCATTTACAAAAAAAATGTGGAATTTATAACTAATCATCTGAAAAGCTTTTACTTTCTTGGTAAGAAGTATCTGATTCTAAATGACATATTGTGTACTGTCTAGTTCATTTGCTGAATCTTAAAAATTCCAGAAGTTACAAATTTGATCTTATTTGGCATTCCAACCTAGCACAATGATATGTTAACTCATGATCAAATGCCTTTACTGTGTGATAAATACACTGTATGACAAATCATATGTAGATAAGCCACCTTCAATTAAAAAAAATTAAGGTCAGGATTTAATAGCATACAGCAGCTAAATGTATAACCGCGTTAAGAGGTGAAAAAAAAACAGTTCTGATTACTTTGTTTTTGTCTGAAAATGTTTCACCATCCTATTTACAACAAAAGGCAGGAGATTGGTAAGGATGTTGGTGGACCTAGCAAACCCAACCATGAATTATCCAGTTCATCCTCTACTAACACTGCAGCAAACTGTAAGTACACTTTTCATGTTCAGTCCTTTAATTTGCTGTGGAAACAAGTCATCACCTATTCTTGTACTACTAGTATTTATTATGATTCTTACAAGTTGCATTTAGTTGGTTATTTTTGTTGCTTTTGTGTTTTAATTATTCCAGCCTTGGCTGCTCTGCAAGATATTTTTTCCTGAATGGGATATGACTACACTTGAGGGCATTTTGCAGAGGTGTGGTGGGGTTGTATCTGATGCAGTTGACATGGTATTTGCTGTGTTCCCACCCATGAATGTATGCAGTAATATTTCTTCAACAGCTACATGTGAGCCAGGTAACTATAACTTGTGGTACTGTAATAACCTGTAAAAATCAATTTAGATACCATACTATTCTTGGGAATATGAAGTTACCTTTTAAATAGCAGTGAACGGTTTTGTTGTCCAGTGTGACCCTTGTTTTACAAGAACTTGCAACAATTGGCTGTGGTTTTTCTTAGAACTGAATGGCAAGAAATTCGTTTCCTTCAAGTGTAACTGATGGTTTGCAGTTTCTTTATGAAATCCTTGTCAGTTAAATGAAATGTATTTTTCTGTTTCATTCCAAGGCTTTACAACTCAAACGGGTGAACAAGATTTGAAAAGGGGAATTACAACCTCGAGTTAAATAAATTATTGTTGTTGATAGTTGTTGTGTCTTACACACCTTTCTCTCAGTTTTCACATTCTTTTCCAAATAGATGCATGGACATTTTCGCCCGGTTATATAACTTTACCAACGAAAGTTCTTATAAAATATTTGGTCTGCCAAAATGCCATTTAAATATTAAAATCAATGATTTTTATAATACATTAGGAAAAATAGCACATACATATTGGGATGTAAATGTAAATGTACAAACTAAAACATAAAAGATTCTCTGATGGCTTGTTTTACTGGATTTATAAATATGTTTGAATATTATAGTGAAAGTTTTTTTTTACTTCACTCTTGCAGATGCAAAGGAAGAAAGCATCACCACTAATTACTTTGAGGGAGGAGGTAGAATTGATGACAGTAAGGTGATGAAGAGTGTAAGTGCATGCGACTTGCTGAGGCAGCTTAAGGAGAAGGTTCTTAAAGATGGTATTCAGCGGATCACTGTTGCAAGAAACACTTTGTGGGAGGACACTGTTGCACTGTTTAAAAGCACAAGGTTTGATCCCACTAAGTCTCCTAGGGTAAAGTTTGAGGATGAAGAAGGAATTGATGCTGGTGGTCTACGGAGGGAGTACTTTACTCTTTTGATGAAGGCAGTAACCAATCATCCAGCTTTACTAGAAGGCCAAGAAAACAAGAGAGCCATTACATACAACACAAGCGCCCTTCAAAGCAATCTTTATTTCATTGCTGGTCGCATGATTGGTCGTGCGATTATGCATTGTGACATAGGTGTGCCTGTTTTCTCCAAGAGTATGTATTACTTCATATCACATGAAACTGTAGACATGACAGAAATGCCTCACTGTGCAGAGGACAACCCAGATTGCTCTGTTGTGGAACTGATACGCAAGGTAAGGCCGCCCACCCCGATGACAATGTAGGTATATTTGTAGATTTCGTGCACGATAGAATTTTTTAAGACATCCAAGACAAGATTGATTCACCTAAATTGTTCTAACCACAAACTCTTGATACATGTGCGGCTGGTTCTTTTAATATGTAAAGTTTTTTGAAGGGACATCACATGATATTGCAAGTTACATGATCAACTGATATATATGTTTCAACTTTTTTTTTTCTTTAAAGGTTGAAAACGCGGGATGTCCACAGGACTTAGAAAACCTTCAGGATGATTTGTCCGAGCTATTGCAAGCTGCAGGGTGGGATAAGGTGCTTAGCTATGAGAACCGCGTGGCTGCTATGCAGCTACTAGCTGCCCATGAAGCCTTCTACAAAAGAAAGCTTTCGATTGACCAGTTCTGCAATGGGTTGGATGTTCTTGGCGTGTTAAATCTTATCAGAAGCCATCCTGAATCGATGCAGCCATATTTTGTACACAACACAGACACCCTGTTGACACCAGCACTTCTCTTTAACCAGTTCCACAACATTGACAAGGTGGAGGATGGAACAAGAGAAGTAATGAGACAACACTTGAAGAGGTCCATATCTGAGTGCTTTGATGATAAGAGTTGTTACAGTAGTTAGTTTTACGTTTTAAATAGACTGTCTGCTGTCCCCTATTTTCCAGCGTGGGTAGAGTCCAAAGTTTTTGTGGGGAGAGAGAGAGAGACATTGTATTAAGTCTTTTGGAATCCCTGAAAGATGTTATCAAGGCCCTTCAGAAAAAAACATGAAAACTAATAGTGAAGTAAAATGTTTAACCCCCATCAAGCATTCAGTGTTGATTTCAATGTATTTAACACACAATAGAACTTCATGCATAAGTGGTTGTCCAATTTGAAGGTAATTAAAATAAGATTCCTCTGACTGCAAGTTCCATGAGTACTATGACCTTGCACAATAATTATGGCATTCCTGGGAATATTATTCATCCAGTTAGTTCCAAGCTGGAGAGCACTTAGTCCTACTACACATACTAATGACTGTTTTTCTTTTCCAATCCAGAGTTTTGGTCTTCAAAACTAGTTGAATTTCTCATGTTTGCAACAGGACTTGGCGCTCTACCTCCTTTGGGGCTGGATGAGAAGATCACTATTTACTACAGAGAAGATACCTGTCCTCATTTCTTTGCAGAAACATGTACAATGGAACTAAAAGTTCCTACTGTTCATGATCAATATAGCAAATTTTATAATAGTTTCCTGGAAGCTTGCATGCACAGTGTAGCTGGGTTTGGTTGTATGTAAACAGTTCAAATAAGACCATGGGTCAGAAGGCAGTTTACATGTTCATTTGCTGATTTTCACATGCTTTGTTACATTTCTTGTTGAAGCCATATTTGACATAATGATTATCCGCCATTGACATTAGACGTAAAGAGTTTTACAATAGTGATATTGACATTAATTTTTGAAATTGAAACATACCAAGTGTGCTAACTAAGGATAGCCAGGTGCTTACATTGACTAGTACCTATGGTTAGTTGATTTTGCTGCAAACATGTTTTTCTTACTGTGGTGACCAATTAATTATTATACAGGTTTTCTTGGCACCAAGATTTCCGTGACACTCAATAACCTGTACTGTTTGCCTGTTAAAAAGTGAAGTTTGCCAATCATGTTGCAAGACGTGAAGTAACAAACATTAAAGTTTGAATAAAAATATCAATTCCATAACAGTCACTGTTCCTCAGTGAGTCTATGGCTTGTTTCAGTTCTTGTGTTTCTTGTAGATTCAGTGGGCACTCTGTCAAGGGCAATTCAATCATTTCATCAGAATCTGACTCTGGCAATGGACCATCCCAATCTAGACCATATTGCTCAACCTCATCCTGAAAATTATGCAACACAATCAGTTTTTATTCAGTAACTATATATATATTTTTTTATTTTGTTATTATTGTTGTTGTTGTTGTTGTTTTTTTTTTCAGGGGGAGGCTGGGGTGATAAATGTTCTCTATTAAAACAGCATAATTCCTTGTAAAACTGGCATACAAGGATTGGTTGACTTCTGTTTGCACTGATATAATGCTAATTTCTTGGGTAAGGGCGACCACTTCCCATTGTAACTACCCCCAAAAAAAGGACACTATGACTACAAATATCTGCATGCTTTTACAATCACTAAGTTTTCCTCTGTGCAACAGGGCAATGTCAATTAAAGAACACAACTATTTGATTCAATTTTTTTTTTCTTAAAGAAAACTTGAAGCATAGTTTTGGCATGCTAAGACAACTTCAAACTTCCCTTGGTTCCTTTGATGTACCACAGTTTTGTTGCCACTGACTGCCAAGTTTGTTCAAGAGATGTAGATATTTTTGGCTTCTTACCTCTCTCAAATCTTCAAACATTTCTTTAGCAATTGTATGACTGCTTCCAGCTATTCTCATCATACCAGATATGAAAAGTTGTCTTGGTGTCATGCTATTTTCTGTACAAATTGGTTTTCTGATCCAACCCTCTTTCCATACATTTAAATGATTGTTGACCCTGGGAAGGTACACGTAATGCAAACAAAATATGTGGATTTCATTGTCTATATTCAGAGTCCCTGTGCCCTCCAAATGACTAAAGAGGTTGTAGTAAAGGCCAACTACACCAGTGAACATATCCCGCCACAGCCTTTCAATTCTTTGGTTGTGGACTGATGATCCTGTTATCATGCTTCCGCGCCCAGGGCCTCTTGCAGGGTGTGAAAGCATGAATAAAGACACTTCCACATTTTCCCCACCTTTGTCCGCTCTTACCCGAGAAGGAAGGCCATAACTTTCTACAGCGTTCTCAAAAAGATTCAGGACTGTTGAGGCACGATTGTTGTCAGAACATTGTAAAAACACAGGGATCCTTGAGTAGCCATCCACTCCTCCGTGTATGACGAGGCGCCACCTAACAAATAATATTCAAGAACTGAGACTGCTTTGTACCTGTAACATGCCAGCATGTAGGGTCACTTTTTCAATAAAAGAAAATAAGTAAAGGAAAACCGCATATAAGGTAGCTCTTTTTTTTACAATGACTGATTTTTAATGTTTTAGTAAGAAATTAATAATGTTAGTTTCGAAGACAACACTCCCAAATCAGAATTCTTGGTTTTCACATGATGTCATAAAAATTAAAAAACTCAAGTATACCTCCCACAAAGCCGTTTCCAACATGGTATGTGGATATACAGAAAGCTTCAGGTTCTCAAGATGTTTTACATTGATTTATGAAGATTTCAAATGTGTTGCACAATCCATCATGTTATTTAAGAATAGCCATTCAAATAAACAAAATTGACCAGTTGAAAGTTATTTTTGCATTGTAGATGCTTATAAGCCAATTTAATCTAATTTATAGTGAATTCAATCTTTTCTGATGAGATTTTTTGTGTAATTATGACTTTAAAGTTTTGGCTGCCATGTTGGTGTCCCAAAGTGGGACACCAACATGGCTGCTCCATACATTTGTTACTAAAAGTATGTAATACTCACTTGCCTGTAACTCAAAATTTGGCCAAGATGTGTAGGTTTAAACCCTCTACAATTCCATAAACATTTTTGTGATCAAAATCTGTTATTTTATGCTTCTGAATTTTGATATGACGTCAGTGGAAACCACCAATAGCGTTAGCAGCCAAGTTTCCTGATTTTATCTGTCGACTATGAAGTTAAGCAGTTCAGTTTTCTCTTGTAGGGTTGGTGTAGTTGAGGTTTTCTTTTGTGCATTACTTTTGTACCATGAGCCATAAATACATATATGATGCAATTTTTCTTCCTCGAGGCGGGTTTACACATGGGCGCTGAAATCCCTGCTACTTTACACTTGCGACAAATGGTACATGTACATTAAAAAATCACCGGTGTATGTAAACAGGCCAAGAACCACCGAGCCCCCATCCGCTGGGTGGAGGAGTTCCATATACCTAAAAGTGACGGGTTTCAGGGTTTCAAATACATCGTTTGCTACCTCTTAGAGTCTTTGATTCTAAAATGCATCTACCAGCATTTAAATGGCCTGGGTACCTTTTGAGTATTAGCAGGGAAAAATGTGTCTTGAACTACTTATCAGCAAATTAACTTTTAGAATTGGTACCTCTTAGGGGTAATAGTTGATTCTTTTTAAAATTTCTGACGATCATCCCGTCACCTTTATATTGGAGCTTCCCCTCCTCCGGGCACTGAACATTATTTACACATGACCACAAGTGAAAAATATACATCAATGTGCCTTTTCTTAATCGCTACCTTATTAATTTGTGGTGCCCATCAATATGCCACAAGGCATTTGGCCCATAAACACTGTAGGATCTTCTTTGTATAGTATCCATCCATCTAAGTACGGCGCCTTCTGGATCGGTTCGAATCATTGATGCTCTTACTCTTGCGTGCTGGATGACTATGCCCCGACGGGTCAGCTCACCCAACATACGACGATATCCAATGTTGGGAAACAATGCCTGCACATCTCTAACAACGCCGTCTAAATCTTCGTCGGAAATGGTGGAATACGGTAATAGGTTTACCAAACCGTGCTCACGAATCCTACAAGCCACAGTACTTAGCGAAACGCGTAACATGTCTGCTACCTCTCTTCTTGAAAATCGTTCTCTAAGAAAATATACCAGTTGTTCTCTACTGATCTGGTAAGAAGGTCGTCCACGGCCACCAGAATTTAGTAAAGCTGCTCTGTAACCCGTTTCCTCACTTTCTACTCGTTGTGAACAAAAAGTTAATTTTTCGTAGGCGAACATGAGGCAATTCAGAACACTCGAATCTAAAACATTGGCGGTTACAAGTCTGGCTACCTGTCGTGCTAGCTGTTTCGCCACGAAAACACAGTCCATCTAATGTTTCATGTTCCACGTTGTTCGCATGAAGCTCCCGCTGCACATCGTGAATCATTCCTTCTATTCTTGTTATCAACGTCTGTCGAAGTTCACCATATGCGTCCGCCATGTTTGTTTACGAAGAACAAATCACGTGATTCGTTTTGGCGGGAAGTAAGTCCGCAGTGCATGCTTTCTTAAATGTCAAGACGAACATCATAATGTCAAGACCATTATCTCTTTAAAAGGCGTTTGTTTTGTTCATGTATATTATACATATGAACCTCATAATGTCAAGACGAGCATCATAATGTTAAGACGACCATTCAATTTTTTTAAAAGACGATTGTTTTGTTCATATATAATATACATATCAACATCATAATGTCAAGACGAACATCGTAATTCAAAGACAAACGTCTTATTATACTGTAAGGAGAGATTTTCCATGAATTCTTTATTTGGCTCAAATATCATATATAGCTTTCAAATATTCGCTTTGATGTTGTTCTTAGTAATTCATGCTGAATTCGCATAAAGAAGTTTTAGCTCCGCAAAAAAAATCGTGCCATTTTTATTATCCTTTGTCTCATTTGCTTTGTGTTCGCCAGGTTATAATCATAGAAAAGCCAACAGTGTTCCTAAACAAACAAAACTAATTGCTCGTTCTCTTTTCAATCATATACATTTTACGTCAATGTTGACTCTTGAAAGAATATTTAATTTCTTAATAATGGTTTATTTGACTTCAGTCTATTTCTCGTGATTTAACTACCAGACGACATCTATTCATAGTAACGCCTTTGATACAGGTGTAACTCGTTCTAATTGCAACTTAGTTATATTTATTTGCAAAAGTATATTTCATTAAGTTGTTAGTCAAAGAGAGGTGATAACCGAATTTTGGATATGAAAGGTTTTGCTGTCTTGTTTAAAAATAGATCGGTTTTTGTTTAAGGTGAAAAATTCCAATTAGTCTGCGCTTTTCCTATTTAAACAGCCGATAGCTGAACTTGCAATTTAATTCATATTGTAACACTTTGTACATACACGCTGTTTTGCTGACCTGGCTAGGTCTTTGTTTCAGCACTTTTACTTTCTAAAATAGCAACAGTAACAAAAGATTTCAGGTTAAAAATAGAATTTGTATTTAGTTTTCATTTAACTCTAAGTGATTTCTGTTTATATTTCTATTGTATTCTTTTGTCTTCAATGGTTGTAAAAATCATATATAAGTAAGTTGCGTTGAACTGATTTTTCGATTAAATCGCCGACTACTCCGCCGTCCTCGCCGAGTTATTGCTGTTTGATCCGCTGAAGAATAAACGCTGTTGGAACCAAGTTTAGTCTGTTTTATCTACTGCTGTACCAGTTAGTGGTCTGATCCCGGTCCTCGAGAGAAG